TATATATATATATATATATCACATCATAGTAAAAATCCGTTAAATCAATCCCAAACCTCTGAAACTAACAAAATCAATCACAAGACTCCCTCTCACCAACTTTTACTTCTAAAACCCCATCTTTTAAGTGATTTATACTTAATTTCCAGCAGTTTATACCAAGAAAAATCAAATTATTTTAATTGCTCCAAACCTTGAAATTTTTATGAGTTTCCGAAAAGCTGGCATGGCATTGATCCTCTTAGTGCTGAGGTAGAAGACAGGAACAGTAAGTAATAAGAGTAGAGAAAAAGAGAGTGTGTGCTCTCTGCATTTCTCTGCCATTTTTGCTCAGTTCTTCTGCCATCTTGCCTGCTTCTGCTGCTCTGCTGCTGCTACTGCTCTGCTGTCACCGCAATAAAAATAAGGAGTGCAGTGTCATCTGCCCCCAGATGCAGCATCTGCTGCCCCCTTCTGACAACTCCATTAGCCTCTATCAAATCCCCTTTTTTAATTCATTTTTAAAACTTTTATCATACCAAAAGTTGTCATTAGTTCCATCTTATTGCATCATTAAGGATACTAATTAAGATTAGTGGCACTAATATTGAAAATCTATTAGTAAACAGTTTCTTAAAATAAATCGTTCATTGCTAATTCAGCGTGCACCTTTCCATTTTTTTTAATGATTTTTTATGCATATCATACGATTTTTATGTACTTTCATGTCTAATATTTAAATTTTTATTTTTACACCATTTTATTTAAGCTTTTAAAAGTTGTATTTCTTTTTTTTTTTATAAATAAAAAAAGTATTTTAAATATATTGATTGATTTTATGTGTTAGATGTATAAATGTAAAAAATGTGTAATATATAAATAGATGCTCTTTTTAAACATATTCACTAGATTTTTTTTTTTTTGCCTAAAATAAGACTAAAAAATATTATGAGATTTATATAAAGTCTTAATATTAAAAATATATTATTAAAATAAAGTTAAAAATGTATTAGCTTATATAATACAAATTAAAAAATTTATATTATTAAGCTATTAAATTCAAATTTCTACATGAGATTCTAGGCTGTGGTCTCCTCACACCAGTTGTTGCCCCTGTGATTTATCCATGCAACTACTCAGAAGATTCTGCAGCCTCCTCTCTGCACCTCTTTCAAGACTGAATGACCCATCCTTTGCCTGCCATTAAAATAAATAGAAGGTTTACGCGTATCTATAGCCATACACAGCGCACTAAAACCACTGCTATCGCTATTGCAAACCTCCTCTCCTCTCCTCTCCTCTCCAAGGTTTCTCCTTTTAACAGAAGATGATGATGGGTGGAAGAAGCAGTTCAAGATATCCCTTCACTGCTTCCCAATGGCAGGAGCTTGAACATCAAGCTCTCATCTTCAAATACATGGCTTCAGGCATTCCCATTCCTTCTGATCTCATCCTCCCCATCAGAAGAAGTTTTCTTCTCGACTCCACAACAACCTCACCTTCTCTCGTTTTCCCTCCCCAAACACAATGTAATGAGCTCTTTTAATCACTTCGTCGATCAGCTCTGTTCTTCTTTCATTTTTGTTTCTGGTTTCTAACTTTACTCTGATTTCAGTGGGATGGAGCTGCTTTCAGATGGGATTTGGGAAGAAAGCAGAGGACTTGGAGCCAGGGAGGTGCAGGAGAACTGATGGGAAGAAGTGGAGATGCTCCAAGGAAGCTTACCCTGATTCTAAGTATTGTGAGAGGCACATGCATAGAGGAAAGAACCGTTCAAGAAAGCCTGTGGAAATCTCTCTTGCTGCTAAAACAAATCACTCTTCTTCTTCTTCTTCTTCCTCCTCTTCTGCGCAGTCACCATATCTTGCCAACCTTTCAATCTCAACTCCAGAAACTAATTACCACCTCTCATGCCCTTTTTCAAACTCCTCGAGACCTCCATGGGCTCATTTATCTTCTGATTCTGGAGCTTCACATCTTCAGTTAAACTCTGACCAAAATGTCTTTTTGATTTCACATTTTTAATGCTTTCGATCAAAAATTTTTTTTTTGATATATATATATATATATTTGTTTGTTTCATGAGGATACAGATATGGAGAAGATGGGATGAAGGATTTAGAAGGATGCAGTTTCTTTTCTGGCATGACTGGAACTGAGAGGGAGAGTTCATCTCAGTTAGAAGCTATGGGAATGAGCTCCATCGGACAAGCAAAGCAGAGCAGCTACTCACTATCTAAGGAGGAAGAGGAAGAAAGACAGAAGACTCTCCGCCATTTTTTTGATGAGTGGCCACAAAGGAACAAGGATCCATGGATGGACATAGAAGAGGAGAACAGCTCCTATACTAAAACTCAGCTCTCCATCTCATTCCCAAAATGGTCTTTTTAGTCTTCTCTACTGCAAAGTAACTCTAATGATAAAAACCAATAGAGCTCTTTCTTTTAGTGACTAATCCTCTTATTGTTCTTCCTATGTTGCTCCCTGCAGATGGATGAAACTCGAAACACGAGAAGACATGATCAAGTGGCTGTTGCTTGCTGTTTTGAACTTCGCAGTTCATTCAATATTTTGAATTCCGTAATTTTGTTTGTATTTTTCTTCTAGCTCTGCTGATGTTTCTGAGAGGATGATAGCCTGATTGGCGTTTTGGTTTTTAGGACTCTGCGAGTATATTTTCTCTGCATATGTATGGTTTCGTTTGTCATATCTCTGTGCATCTCTGTTCACTCCATGTTTTATTATGTTTTCCGGATGACTTGTTTTTTTGGTAGATTTACATACACACCACACAATCTTTATTTATTTACATAACTACTAAACTTCATTTCTTATATATAT